AAAATCATATAGTTTTTGAAAACTTGAAGATTGCATAAATTTTAGAATAATCATTGAATATTAAATATAAGAAAGTGCTTTTTTTAAAAATAAAAAATCTACGAGCCTTTTAATCGTAAAGTTCGAAGTTTAACCTTACTACCAACTGCACTTTATACTTTTTAGAACACTAAACTGATGTACACAAATCTCCTTGCTAATTGACTCAATTGTGGAACAAGTCATGTCCTAATTGCAATCTAAATCATTTTCTTTATAGAACTTAGGGTTCATTTGGCATAGTTTTTGAAAAGCCACAAAAAGCTTTTGAAACTAAAAAACAATTTTCACGCCTGTTTGACTAATGTTATGAAAGTATTTTATTAGTTAGAATAGCTTTTAGAGAAAATTGGTCAAATGGGACTTTCTCTAAAAATACTTTTGAAATATGAAGTGCTTTTAAAAAGGGTAATGCTATATGTACACACACACTTTTACACAATCTTTTACACCTCTCTCACATTAAGGGGGGTCCACGATTATTTTATTATGTGTGGGCCCCTCTCCATGTGAGAGAGGTGTAAAAGATTGTGGAAAAGATTGTGTACACTTAGCATTATTCTTTTAAAAATTAATTTTTAAACAAAAATCAAAGGAGCTTCCTCAGCGCTTCTATATAAAGTAAAAATAAAAACAAAAGTCATATCAAATTTTTATAATTCGTAATATTTCCCTTCTTACTAAAATCCCTTTTCACCAAAATTTATTGCGACTTTAATTACTACTTTTGACTTCTTTATTATACTAAGCATCTATTTGTCTCCAAATCTTTCAAAATTCTTTTTTTTACATACTCATTTTTAGTCATGCATTCACATATTAACATATTTTGCTCATGTACCCAAAATTTTTTCATATTTTTTAATCACACAGTCTCCAAAAATTCACTATTTAAAACAATGTTTTCTTTTTTTTTAAAAGGGGCTAATTTGAGTCAACCCAACAATATTTTTTGGAGCGTTATAATATAAGTCATTAATGCATATAGCAGATTGTTGACCACGCATTAATTCTGTAGGTTATGAATCCACTATAAAAAATGGTTCTACCCTATTCATTCTTTGCCATCGCCAAATACCAATTATGAGTACTGTAAACTCTCTCGTTCTGCTTCTAGGGATCGTTCTTCTGTGTGTTCCCATTCTCACTCGTGGTGAGTGGGAATACTCAACGCCAAGCGAAAATGCTGAAGTTTTTGAACAAGAGGATGTAGAGGCTCTTCCTCCTCACATCCAGCAGGCGCACGCTCCCAGCCACCACAAACATGGCCACCATCACCACCAACACCACCACCACCACCATAAGGGCAGCCACAAGCACCATCATGCTCATCCACCCGAGCATGGTCCGGATTTCAGTGCTCCTGGACCCGCGCCTACAGGCTTATGAAAGAAGATTAGTCGCAGGAAAAAAACAAGACTTCTTAATCTCGTGATGATTAATTGTTTCGTAATGTGTTGAATCTATTGATGTATGTATCGTATGGAAAGAAGTTTTGTTGACATTGGCTACTCCTGATAGCATGGCTTATAACTTTCAATAAATGCGGTTTTTGGCGATAATCTTATTAGTTCTTACAACGTNGAAGTTTTGTTGACATTGGTTACTCTTGATAGCATGGCTAATAACTTTCAATAAATGCGGTTTTTGGCGATAATCTTATTAGTTCTTACAATGTGCGCAAATGTGTAGAACTTAATTAAGTTTTATTCTCTAGCCATTATTGAAAAGTTGATACACAATAGGCACCAAGAAAGGAGATGTTATTTCTTCAAAAAAGGGCATGGTAAAAATTAATCCAAATTCGAATAATAAAACTCGAACAACTAAACTCGTAAGGCTTTTTACAAATAAATATAGAATGGGATCGTGTTTTAAAAAGCGTAAAGCGTGACTAAGCGTGGACTAAGCGTGGAGGCCAATTTTCAAGCTTTACGAGCCTATGCAAAGTTTAGGCGTAAAAAAACGTTTTTTATTTTAAATTTTTAATCACTGTAAAAAAATTCAATAATTCAAATAATGCATACCAAACACTTAAAATTATAAACTACTATATTTACTTAATAATTCCTACATAAAAATAAGTTTCAAAATCATAATTACATAACATAGATAACATGTAGCTTAAATCTTACCTAATCTAACTATTTATCGGACTCTAACTCAATATCTTCTTCTTCATCTAATTCGTCCTATGTATCGTCCGATACAAAATCATCATTCTCGAGCTCCTTTATTTCATTTTGATCATTTCTTGTACCTCTTGTAGGTTGTAAGATATCATTATCCTCCTTAGCCTCATCATCACAACCCTCTACAATCCAAGATTATGCATTAGTAGCATTACTTGCTAGTAAAGTCTCTATTTTGGCCTTCCTCTTCTTCTTGTTCATCAACCTTACATTAAATTGGACATAAACAAGATTGTTCATCCTCGTAGTGTCAGTCTATTCCTTTTCTTGGTTTGCATCTAAAAAAAAAAACTAGAAGGAGGCGCACCTAGGGGTCCCTAATAACTAGGCACGCCTAAGCAAGCGTTAAGTGGTCAACGAAGTGTGTCTAGGAACGCCTAGACGAGCATTAAGCGGTCAACATTGTCGTCGACAATTTAATTTCCGATTAGACTCAAGGCGAAGTGTTTTCATCACGCTTCTCGTCTAGGCGTGCTTTTTAGAACACTGAAATTGGTAAAGATCCCACAAGTTTTGCACTTATGCACGGGAAGGATCCTAAATCCATATGTGTTGTTTACCGAAAAAAACAAAAGATTCACGAGGATGTATTGACTTGTTCATGTTTAATACATATACGAGAGTAAGATTTTAGGATTAAATATATAAAACAAGATCTAAAATTACTTTTCAATAGACACTTGTATCAGTACTCGAAGGTATTTTTTATATTGTGGAAAAGAATAAGAATGGAATGGAAAATCAATTAGATTCATCAGCCATCCCACGTAACATTTGAAATCATACTTTTATTATATAAACATTAATTTTCTCCTTATTACATTTGAAATCATATTTCTATGTTAAAATTCTTCATGATTACACCCTACAAAACAAGAAGAAAATATTTATCTCCTCAAACACACTGAACCCTCCTCTTTTCCATTGCATCCACTTGTTGGCGGCGACAGGTGGCGGTGTGGTGGCTAAAACAGAATATCAGTTGTTGTTGATTTTCCATATATATATGCCTACAAGTATTAAGACTATACTGTAATATTTGTCATTGGGTAAAATATTAATTAGTTATTTATATCATTTAATAGTTTATTGCATTTTATATAATAAACATGTGATTAAGTGCATTCAACCTCTTCATATTACATTTGTTAGATGTTTGCATAGAGAAGCGCATAAATACATGACTCATGTTTTGATCGAGAATTGATTTGTCGTAAACATGTAAGCTGTTGGGAATTTACTTAATCA